TTTCTAAAAAAAATTAATATTTAAATTGCCCCGCCTTGGGGGGGGGGGTCAAAATATACTTCTACCCTTAGTTTTGACTTGTCTTCCTAGATGAGATATTAATAATATTGATATAATACTAATTCAATTAATTCACTTAAAAGTGTACTTCTTGCCAGGTATAGTGATTCACACAAAGTACTCAAGAGGCTGAGGCAGGAGACTTCCATGAGTTCAAGGCCAGCCTGGGTTATATAGCAAGTTCCAGGCCAGCTACATAGCAAGTCCCTGTTTCAAAACAGCAAAAGAAATAAAAGTATACTTCTTTTTTTTTTTTTTTTTTTTTTTTGGTCTTTTTGATACAGGGTCTCCCTGTAGGTCCAGGAACTCACTATGTAGACCAGACTGGTCTTTAACTCACAGAGATCTGCCTGCCTCTGCCTCCCGAGTGCTGGGATTAAAGGTGTGCACCACCACACCCGGCTAAGAGTATACTGTTTTTAAAAAATTTTTTATTTTAGGTGTATGAGTATATTGCCTGCATGTGTGCAGTACATGTCATGCAATGCAGGGAGGTTAGAAGATGGGGTCAAATTCCCCTGAAACTGGAGTTACAGACAATTATTAACCACCATGTGGGTGCTGGGAATCAAACCCGGGTCCTCTGTAAGAGCAGTCAATCTCTTAACTACTGAACCATCTCTCCAGCCCAAAAGTATACTTATAAAAAAATATTTTTTTTTTCCTTCTTTTCTTTGTTGGTACCAGGGATTAAACTCAGGGCCTCCCACATGCTAGGTAAGCATTCTACCACTAAGCTACATCCCCAGCCCAAAAGTATACATATTTTTTTTCCTTTGAGTCTTTTTGACATAGCATTTCCCTGTAGCCCTAGCTGCCCTGGAACTCTTGATATAAACCAGGATGGTCTCAATCTCACCGAGATCTACTTCTGCCTCCTGAGTGCTGAGATTAGAGGGGTGTGCCACCATACACACACACACACACACAAACACACACACACACACACACACACACACACACACACGTGTACCACATGTACAATGCCCACAGAGACCAGAAGAGGGTACAGGGCCCCTGGAACTGGAGATACAATTAGTTGTTAGCTGCCATGTGGGTCCTGGTAACCAAACCTGGGTCCTCTGTAAGAGCAGCCAGTGCTCTTAACCACTGAGCCATCTCTCCAGCCCCCCGAGAGTATACTTCTTTATAAAATTCAAATATCAAATAAAATATATTTTCAAAGGAATTGCAGTACTTAGAACAGGTTTTCATGAAATACCACAATGACTAACAAGAGGGTGAGGTTTTACAGTGGAAATTTAATGATTTTTCAAGATAGACTTTAATTATCCTTAATTGATTCACATTAAACATCTTAGCCAACATATAATATAGACCTACCTCATTCGAAAAATGGATGAGGTAGCCAGAGAGACAAAGAGTTCAACTACAGCTTTAAGATGATTACAACTCAGAAATTAATGGCACAACAGACACTTGAGCTTTTATGGTTACACTAGATCACACTGGCATTAAAGATGAAGCACCAACTCACTGACTGCAGTCTTAGGCACCATAATTAACTAACTTACCTATGTGTCTTCAAATCCTCTCAGCCACCTTTTATGTGAAGTTCTGACAGGATAAATTATTGGCCCTTTAATAAGCTAGCTAACTACATGTGGAAAGGTTAAAAACAAAATTCTGAAGTTGTTATGACATACACCTATATTTTTTCCACCCCAAATTCACAAACTAGTTTCAATTATATTCTAAGTGATGGTATTTACAGCAGTAAGTACAATGAGACATTATCACAATTGCTGAAAATCTCAGATCAAACTAAAATTTTGGCTAGCTTCCACCCACCTCCCTATACCCCCAGCCCAACAGCTCTCTGAGGCCCCTCTACTCTATCCAAAATCAAGACATCTGATACTTCAGCACCTAGGATGGCCTTGCCAGGATTCGAACCTGGATCATCTGTATGATCAGACAGAGGCTTCCACTGAGCACAAGACCAGCTGCCGGTGCACAACCCTTCCTCACAGTTAAGATTCTGAAACTCTAGGCATTTTGAAAGAATCCAGTACACAGAGACAGACTTTACTACATACTAAAAAAACAGAGACCACAGAATAAACAATGAACTTAGGGAGCAAACTTTCTATCTAAAAGATGTTTCCACATATATCATGTCCTTTGCCATAATCACCCTATAAGGGAAGCTAATAAAGATCCCTCTGATTTTCTAGAGATGTGGTTACTACAGAAGTGGCAGGGACTGGATTCCTCATGGGAATAGATAGCTTGACATAATAAGGAAAACCACGAATGTGGCATCACTTTACCTTGGCATCTTTCTGAATCGGGCAAGGCTTTGCATCGCTTCTGAGGCAAATTTACTCGAGGATCTCCAACTGTCAGTCCCAGAATAGTACCTGCAGGGATTTCTGCTGGTGATGATATCCCTTTAACAAAACAGAACAAAACAAATCAATAAAAAAATAGTATACAGAAAGTCACTCATGGGGTCAGAGAGTTGGCCAAGCATGGGACCCACAAGGTAAAAGAGAATGACTCCTGCAAGCTGTCTCAGACATCTACATATGTGGTGGCACATGTGAAAGTGTGCATGCACATGCACGCGGACACACACTCACACACACAGAAAATAAGTAAATGTAATAAAATTTCTTAAATAACAGTCACTCAATACATACTAATACATTCTTGCTTACCTTTTCAAATCTTTCACATTTTCCAAAACAACAACTTTGTTTCATAAATAAACATAAAGCTTTATTCTTTTGAGTCTGGGCTCTTGCTTTATCATAACAAACAGCAGCATGATAAAAAGCAAGATCTCAGCAGATGGCTAGAGTGCCTGTTCTGGCCCCCCTCTGGCATAGGAGTTAAGAACTCAGGGAACTGCCTGAGAGCACCTGGATCCTGCCTTCACGTGGTGAAGGCTTTGAGAGGGAACTAACACTGATTGTAGCCACTCCAACAGCTATCAAAGTGCCTGAAAACAAATCCTGAGTCTATCACTCTCGAGTCCAGCCTTGGCTCACAAAACAAAATGAGGAGAAATCTAATAGAGGGATGCTTTTGGAAGCGCTAGTCAAGAAAGTCCAATGGACTCTCATACGAACATTTGAAATTTGCGCTGTTCTGACTTTTCTGGTTCCCTGTCTAGAACTTGGAATGGTAACTACTCTTGCCTTTACTTCTCCTTCACATCCCCTATTCACCAGTCAAGGTTTGTTTTCCCTCTAAGAGTTATGCAATTTAGGAGCCTTTTAGATAGACCCACTGAAGGGGTACTCCAATTGCCTCACCCTGCGATCCTG